GAGCTGAGGCCATCTATGCCGTGGGATTACTCCACTTGGCAGCCATTTTCTACTTCCCATCCACCACGCACCGTTCCAAACGATGGCGCGCACGGTTTCTACAACTCCGGATCCACCCAGACCACTATACCTACTCCCACTTTCTTGCCCCCAATTCGGTCTACGTCAAACTTTTCTTCAACTCCCACGACGCACAACGATGCTACCACCAGTATGGCCATTGCTATGTGGGCTCCACCGCGATCGGCGTACCCGGCAGAGAACACAACCGCCGAGCAAAACTCAAACAGCTGGCCAAGACTACTCCCATTTCAGCCGAACTCTCCCTTCGCTACTGGCACTCAACCAATACCATCACCCAGTTTTCCACCATCCACATCGCCACCTACCCAGACTATGACCAAGCCTGGATCCACGAACATTTGTACATGTCCCGCTGGCAACCTACACTCAACTGGCCTTACATCTCACAGCGCCTCAAGCTCAAAGCAGACGGCTGGCAATTCAGCAGACACAGAGCACATTTCTTTCCACGCCTGGCCACAATCACTACCGCCTCTTTCGAAGGCTACGCCGACGACTACATTCCACAGCCCAACCCATACTTCACACATCACACAAGCTTCACGCCCTCACCGTCCTACGAGACCTCACCAAACACACACACGAGCGTCCTTCGACGCCGCTCGACAACTCCGTTCGGGCAAATACACGGATCTCGAAGTCTACGCCATCCGTCGTATGGCCACCAGCCTTGAAGAACCAGGACGAAGCCGAGCTCTCCACCTTCTCAACCAAGCATTGACGTATCGCAACCTCACTCCACCGAAGAGCAATCTTCCCCTGACCATTCCCTTCTTAGCCCACCCCAGTTTCCAATCCGACGTCCAACGCTGGCTCGGCCAGCTCATCAACCACCACAAACACTTTGCCATCCCCCTCCACCTCCCCACGTGCCGAGTACGTGAAGCGGCCCACCCCACACTACGTAGTCGCCTGCGCAACCGCCGGCGATGGGAAACACTATTGGGCAGCCCCCCACACATCAATCAGCTCCCATGTGGGTGGGCCCATCTTCGCACCCTCGTGCTACCCACGTCCCAATTCCCCGATGATGACCACTTGATCGTGACTCTCGCTGATTTACAACTTCCAGTTCACCTCCGTCGTTTTTTGAACGCCGACATGAACACAGCGCTTTCTTTCCGACCAAACATCGCTATTTCGACTCTGTTCGCAAGAGCTTGATCAAATGGCTTCGACATCATGGACTCCCTACCACTTTGTCCCATCACGTCGACGCTTTCCTCACCGCCCAATGGAAACATCGCAATCTCCAACCCATCACGAGGACCGCTTCACCGCCAGATCCGTCAAGCAGTTGCAAGAATTCTTGGGCGACAAAGTTGTCCTTCATCATGCCGATCATGAACTACAACACCTCCGGATCTTCTGCCCCCACATCTACTTTCGTGTGGCGCTCACCAGAACTCTTCCAACCATTGCCAGATGATACAGACCAGACCATTTCCACCATCATTCAACACACCTTTCCCCCACACCTTCGCCAGAAATACAAATGGGGCTTCAACACCAAGTTCAAGATGCCATATCGAGTTGTCCACTTGAAAGCCAAGAAGCAATGGCGCAAAGGTCGCGCCATCATATCCTACTTCAAAACCTGCTACGGCCCACTCCTACGTGTCACCTCCAACATTCTCAATACTATGATTTATCGCCTTCTACCGCAATCACCAGGGCAACTTTCCACTCCCCAACTTTGGCACCACTTACACGACTACCTTCAGCACACACCCGTGTCCGTGGATCTCCATGCAGTCAACGATGATTTGGTAGGCTTCTTCAACTCCGTCCCCCAAGATCGCCTGATCCAAGCTGTCCAAAGCCTTGTCAACCGTTGGCAACACACATTTACCACCCCAACCATCACGGTTGACGCACACACAACCGGAGAGCCAATCCAGCTTGCCCACATTGGCCGTCATCACCGCAAACATCCCACACAACGGACACTGTACGCTGACGACATCGCCACGATTGTCGCCCTAGCACTAGACTCATGTATTTTCAAAGCATGCAACTCATACTTCCTGCAGGTCCGAGGAGCCGGGATTGGCTCTCAGCTCTCGCCGGCCTTGTGCAATGTCGCCGTCGCCCTCATCGAACATTCACGGCGTCAACTTCACCATCCCTTGACCGACCGCACGGAGATCCACTTCGTCTACTACCGGTGCGTGGACAATCGCTTCATCGCCTTCAATCGCATCTCCCTCAAACACATGGCCATCCAAACGTTGATCCACCCGGACTTCTACGGCAATCCAGTGGAACTCGAACCTGTGGAAGACATGCACCTATTGGCTTTGATGTCGACCTACGTCGACGGACTATCTCCTACATCCCACCGAATGCTTCATGGAAGATACGCGACTATGCTTCAGCTGGATCCACCCGACTACGACTATCCGGTGTACAGTCCAGAGCCCACATCATCCGCAAGTACACCTACCCGTCCTCGGCTGTTGAGCGAGCGCTTGCTCAACTAGCAGACCTATACGTCCAAAAAGGACATGATCTTCGCAGCAGTCGTCAAGCCTTGAGAGGAAAAGTTTACGTTTTCTCCGCTCTTGCTACCCAGCGGATTTCTCCACGCAGAGTGCGCCGTCCCCGGCCCTCTGTGTGTGTCACCACCTGTTTCTAAGGTCCTCGTAACTAGGTTTGGACAAAGGATCGCAGCACTTCATGATACTGGTCCACTACATCTCAGTTTTAAGCAGCAGGGGGTAGCGGCAGATCGTTTGGGACCGCTACCAACGAAGACGCCCATTTGATCTGGTGACATCAGAGTTGGCCACTCTGACGTACCTGCGACCAATTTTTGAACTGTTGAACAAGCTGTCCAATGCGGCGTTGTGCATTAAGGATCTAATGAGCTGAAGAAAACTTGTTATAACACCTTCAATTGATCGGACTTTTCACCTTGCGGTTTGCACTTCCTTCCGTTTCATCAAGTCAAGGACAACTTCATATACTGACAATAGCTCTTGCGAGCAACTCTCTAAGTGTGAGAGTGAGTGGGAGTGTGAGGGAGTGTGAGTGTGAGTGAGAGCGCAAAGTACTGCGCCTGCCACGAAATTTGCACTTCGAGGTTCACCAAGCGCTGTGCCTGCCACGAAATCTGCACTTCGAGGTTCACCGTGCGCTGTGCCTGCCACGAAATCTGCACTTCGAGGTTCACAAAGTGCTGTGCCTGCCACGAAAGCTGCACTTCGAGGTTCACCAAGTGCGGTGCCTGCCACGAAATCTGTGCTTCGAGGTTCACAAAGTGCTGTACCTGTCACGAAATCTGCGCTTCGAGGTTCACCAAGTGCTGCGCCTGCCACGAAATCTGCGCATCGAGGGTCACAGAGTGCTGTGCCTGCCACGAAATCTGCAAACGAGCCACATGTCCAAAGTCACGATTCACTGCGCCTGTCACGAAGTCAGAGCTCTGCGACGATCGCCGCCATATCCAAAGTGCTGCGCCTGCTACGAAAACTGCATGTCGAAGTGAGACAGCTCCGATGCGCGAAAAGTCGACTTTGGAGCACCGAAACACGAGGTTTCCCTGGCGCCTGCCACTAAAAGTGACCACCGTGTACCAAAATGCGCACGGCGCCGCAACGAGAATGCAGTCGCTAGAAGCACCCGCCGCCGGCAGGCAGATTTTGCGAGCTTGCGCAGTCGAAGTGCACATTGACGATATCGAGAACCATGAATATGTATTGTAAATAGCAACGAATTAGCCGGCGAGTGGCTCGGTGGGTCCTCCAGCAACAGTATTTTCGCCAAGACCCAAAACGAGAGTTCACGATACCAACGCCAAGCTCAACGGCCAACGAACGGGCTTCATCGCCGTGCAGATTCCGGCTCTCAATTGAAGTTACATTCGTGCTAACCAGCTGTCAATTTAAGAGAATCAGCTGTCTATGTTGGAGGCTCAACCACGTCTAATTGCATTTTGCTGAAGCTGCTGAAGCTGCTTTGCTTTGCATTTTGCTGGAGCTGCCGTTCTGCAGATGTTTCCAATCCTGATGCCAGGAAGACACAGCCCGAAATCTCAAAGCAGTGGCTGCACACAGAGTCTACAGCTATACTTGGAGCTAACAGCTGTGGAACACTGACTACTTTCTACTTCTCTCTACTCTGGCTGGTGTGATCTCTCGGAGTTTCACAAACTTTTGGCTGAGCATGAGTCTGATGTATGCACACAAAGGCCGTACCCGCAACACTTGGTTCGTTTTGGGAAACACTACAGGAGCTGTGTTTTTGTGGCAGAACAGTCCTAGGACACAGGCGCCAGAGTGAAACCTATGCCAACACAGTATGAACAGCTGTCACATAACCATCCCCTGGAGCAATCATTTTGTGAAACATAGGCTACATGGGAAGTATAAGATAAATTATTGCTCCACCATGCTCCACCAATTTGACATGCCTTCTTCCTATGACTTGCCTTACCATCAAGTTTAGTGTCTGCTTCACTTTAGTCTTTCAGCTAGGAAATTTCAAATGCCTTTCCGGTTTGATGACTTGGAGGATTTTGGGCGGTCAGTCAGTGTTATCAAAAAGAGCTATCAGAGGCCCATGGGCTAGATAATTTTTCCAGCAGCTGCTTGCATTCGTTCCCTTTCATGCGGGCGAGAGATGTTCCAGCTGGAAATCAACATCATCCAAGCTGAGGTACGGAGAGGGTCTCGTTGTGGGGGACAGTGGAGCTTGCTACATGGTAAACATGTTTGTTCAACATAGAGCAGATTCTGTCTGAATTCTGGAAGTATGTAAGTGCACACTAGTTACTAATGCTTTTGGTGATTCTTTGCAGAGTGTGAAGCAGGCGCAACTCACCTGCCACTGGCAAACCACTCACCTGCCACTGTTTCGCATCCATTTCAAGTTTTGATAGACCGAATTTAATTTGTGCAGGCTCAGAGAGGACTATGTCTCCACCTCCAGAGGACGGTGTCTTCCTCTACATGGTGCCAAGGGGTGTTTGTGAAGCGTATCTCGTCTCTGGCCAGCAATGAGTGTGGCTCGTGGCAGAACATGTTTTTGCTGCAAGGCTTGAATCAAATCAACTTGTTTCATGTTTTTGTGGCTCCATGTCGTTTATTGTAAATTTAGGAGGAGGCTGGGGAATTAAACCTTGAGAGAGACTGCCGTGCCAGCATTGTGGGGGAGGGCAAACTGGACGAGATCTAGGAAAACCTTGATTGTTGAATCGCAAAACAGCTAGGCACCAAAACGTGGTAAGAGAACATGCCGCAGTGCAAAAACCAAAACAAAGGCAATTGTTTAAAGGTCAAAGACGCAGAAACCAGGCTTTAAGTTTGGCGTGTATTTTCTGACGCGCCCACAAAATAGGATGGATCGAGCTTCTGTAGGTATTTTCTCACAGTCAGATCTCGCCCAAGTATCTCAGAGCTCTTCAGGAAAGCATCCAATACTAGCTTCATGTGGACGGCACTTTTGTTTATGTTTTTTGGTTGTCTGTTTGTTTGTCTGGCTATCTCTTTTTGTTTGCTTTCTTGTCAGTTGGTTATTGTTTGTTTTTTGCTTGTTTGGTTCTTTGTGTATAGTTTTCTATTGCTGGAACGCCTAAAAGGATTGCGGCATTCTTTCTTCTCACTAATGATGGCCCAGGTTTGACCTCATGTTTCAATGAATGTCTTTAATACGCTCACCGTTCAGTTATTGAACATTTTTACCTTCCATGTTTTTCTTTGTTGGTTCACAACATTATTGAAGTTTGCGACGCTCATGAACAGGTGTTTACAAGAACTGTGTTTTTATGCGCATGGTTCAGCCGAGGAAGGAGGACGTGGTCGAGAAACAAGAATATACTTTTTGTCATTGGTCCCTGGACTCACCTCAGCTGCTCGCTCTGCACGCTCGAATAAATATGTTCATGTGCTTGCTGCTGGACTGAAAATCGAGCACTTCGAGTAAAACAATTTTTTTGATTCTATCAACTAAGGATGACATCAATGATGTTTCTCGGTTGCGTTCTGATGTGTTCAGATTTGAGGGGACATCTTCTGGAGTTATCATCATTATTGATTATGACAATGATCTCTCTCAGTTGCAAAATGCCTTGGACCTTCCCTGCAGCCAAACCATTAGGATCTAAGGGACGGATTTGGTGACATTCAGCTTTCCAACGTCTCAGGAGGATGGCTTCCAGCTGGATGTTTTGCACTTGAAGAAGGAAACACAAAAATCAATCAAACACTATTTCTTTAGGGTTGCTTCTCGGTGGTTGTTGACCCCAGGATGATGGTCGGTGTGGAGGACTCCCTACTGTGGAAAATGGTAGTGGGATTCTCCAAGATTCTTCAGGACAGGTGTGGCGAGGTTCACAAGCATGCACACATACAAAAACAATCAAAAACACAGAAACCATGCTTTACAGCGTTTCTGGCTGGTGAAAATAAAAAACATGTGAGTAGCCCCCTGTGGCGTGGAGAAAACTAATCGAGAGCAAAGCAGACAATGTCCTTTAGGCAAAGGCAGCAACAGGTTGCACTAACACTAACCCAAGCAACAAAGTCAACGCTTTACAATCTTTCAACTCAACGCGATCAGGCAAAACACATGTTGCGCACCACAGGCAGCAAATGTGTTTAGACATTATGCTAGTCTCCTAGTGCCTATGGCGCAGGGATGAGTTAGCGCCAGGTAGGCGTAGCCAAAACCTTTAATGGACACAGAAGATATCTCAATTTGGTTGCGCATGCGTACATAGGCAAATGTTGTAGTTCTGTGCACGCAGGACACGCGCACACTGCGACACCAAATCAGAAAGTGAGAAAGTCTGTTGTCAGCCAACTTTGGTTCAAACAGGGCCGGAGGTGGAAACATGGCACAGGTTGGGAACTTTTGTCCCTGTAACCTGGTAAATCAAGGGTTTTCCGCCGCAATGAGACTGCGCCAACTAGACGAACCGGAGAAGCCTGTACTTTGGACTTTGAAATCAAGAGAAGCGCAAGAGAAGCGATTAGGCTTCTTGGTTGCATAGGATCCATATTTTGCTCACACATGATTCAATATATGTTGTTTTGTTCACTGGTGACATTTCTTGGTTGGTTTGTCACTTTCTCCAATTTGCAATTAGCTTTTGAGGAAAGCTATGGCTATATGATGGTGACTTTCCAGTCGGGCGAGACTACCAAGAAATTCCATGGGAAAAGGGTGATAATGCTACATGTCTCAGGGATTGGAAGGCCCTCCGATACAACTTCAAGTGGCAGTGGCAGCCGGTGAGTCCATATGATTTTGCAAGACAGGGCCTGCTTTGTGGTCTCTTTAAGCACCACGACCATGATTTGTTTTCATATTGCGAGTGTTGTTTGCTTTGCATTTGAGACCGGCTAAATACAACTTCTTGAGCCTGCTACTGTCAACTAACTAAGGGCGTCGATGAGCAATCAATCATTCTATGGATGGTCTATCCATTGTGCAGGAAGTGACATGTTCAAACCCTTGGGGGGTGATGCTGCTGTATGAGCGAGCGCAGCCACCGAACAAGCCCGAGCTGTGCTTGATTTGGTATCGGTTGCGACAAGAGCCTGCAACCGATGAGTCCCTTGAAGCTGAGGAGGATGGGGAGCATTCCCACCATGCGATACAAAGCACATTCTGAGGAAAGCTCTTGACGAATGGCCGCAAAGCGTGCTGGGAGCAACTTGGCGCCCAGTTGGTTTTGTGAAGCTCTTTCCTGTTTTGCAACCAATGGTTGGCAATGGCCCTGGCCCCTCTGTTTGAGGTTCATCCGTGATCTTCCTGAATGGTGCTGTGTCGAGGACCCTAGTGGCTTGAGACAGGCTGGAATGACGCTTGAAAAAAGAGCAGCTCCTGCGCACGGTTGATCTACATTTTACATGGGTTGCTGAGAACGTGTTGCTGTGAACCATATTGCGTTCACTTTACACCAGTCACCAGTACAATCAAAGCCATTTCGGCTCAACAAAAAGAAACGCCCAGCGAGCAAAGGGACGCTCAAACGTCCCGCCGTCCAAAAACCCTTGATTGACTCTGGCTCAGACGAGTGTCAGGCCAGACTTTCCAAAACGAAACAATTCCAAGATGTTCACTTTGCAAAACAAAACCGCTGCACAGTATGGTGTCAGATTATACCAAGATGAGCCAGATGAAATTGATACCTCGCGCTCCTCAGATGAAATCTTTATGTATTCTTTTGCTTTTGTCAATTGATTTTGATGACCCGATTCTAAGGTTCCAAAAGGAGAAAAATTGGTGTCTGGGGTGATTTAGATGGTGATGGTTAATTTTAATCCAGACCTCCGACTCCTCACACAGATGGGAACTCCGTGACCTGACTGATGATATAATGTGTTCATTTTACATTGGACAATGATCTCCGCCCATCAAGAAAATTAGGCCTTCACATCCCAAATCCTTCGACGGGCTTTGGAATTGGCCAGATACCTTGCTGAGCCGCTTTGAGCATCTTGCCTTCAATTGACTGAATGATAAAGTCAGTCCAACCATGATGTTTATTGAAAATATTGCTTTGGCTCATTACATTTTCATTGATAGCAGGATTCTCTATGGAGAAAGCTATGTCCGTGAACAGCTCCGCAAGTCGCGCGTTGAGTGGGATATGTGGTTCACAGGAGCTGCTGACTTCCCAGGGTCAGCTTTGCAACAGATTGCAGGGGCAGTCAAAAAGAGGTGACTTGGGATCAAAGCATTTGTCCTTTCCTTGAGTGCTGTTAGTTAGGGCTGTTTGGGTTTTCACTGACCAAGGTATGGGTTTGACCTGGCATTCTCTCATGGAAGCGCCTGTGATATCTCCAAGCCGTCCCAAAAGTTACTCAGATAAGTTAAATATGTTTGACTTTCCGGAAATCATATGGTTATCTGAGGTTCATATGTGCCAACTATCCTCAGCGCTGCGTCTTCAAGGATATCTTGGACTTTGTACAGGATGCAAACAAGCCCAGAGATCAAATGACTCTTGAAGCTCAGCTGGGCAATCTGTCGTTTTTGATCATTGCCAGCGCCATGTCTATTTTGTGGATCTGAGGTGGATCATGCACACTGCATCGTCCACACCAGCAATTGCCCTCGGAAATCTGATGTGAAACCTGGGTGGATGAAAGGAGCTTGTGATGGACCACCATGTGTCCTTTTCAGCAAGAGTCTTGGTACAACAACAGTTGCGACAATGAGGTCTAGATCAGTGTGTCACACTCATGCTGCAATTTGAGGATGGGAAAAAAAGGGCTCAGCAACGTCGCCAAAAGAAAATGTCATGACGTGGATGTGAAAGACAGGCTGGACCAACGGATGCTTAGCTATTACTGTATTTGCATTAACTTTTTTGGCTGTGTGTGGCAATTGTGTTTTTGCTGAGGCGGCATTCGTTCGTACAGTGTTTCGCTGAGGCCACACATCATGATCCATGAGAATGTCAAAGATTTACCTGGACCATACTTGGAAGAGCCCTTCAAAGCTAGCGGATATGGATATGACTCTACGTCAGCGGTGGGGAAAGCCAATGAACAGGCACATGCCATGCAGTATTGAATGGTCAAGCGCCTCATGTCTTCACATTCATTCATTTCGTTTCTTGGTGAGGCTGCGCGTATTCCGTATCTTCTGGAGATTGGATGCTTTGGAGTGGCATGGTCCAAGTCTACGTGAGAAGCTTGTTGCTCCTCAGACTGATTTGCCACTGTCCGCCAATGCAATGTATTGGCTGGACAAATCTGGGGTGGACCTTTGGCTTGTCAAGGGTGTTTGTTTTCAAATGTGTGTTTTCTAATGTTGCATATGTTGTGGCTTTTGAGTTTTCTACTGTTCTTGGCTCTGTCGCATTGAGGTGCAGCGGTGTGGATCATCTGATATGTTCGAGACCCAGCTCTCACCTTCTGCAGCACAGTTCAAGGAAGACTATGAGAAGCACCACGGTCAAGCTGAGATTTGGGTAGCTTGGCTCAGGTGACAAGGCACAAACATAAGTAAACGCAAAGCGCAAGCAGAAACAAAAAGAAACAAATAAAAACTGATCCAGCTTAGGACTACATTCACCACTTCCAGTGGCTGCCTGTTGAGCCCTCATACTTTTTGATGCCTGTGGAACATTTTGACAGCGTGTAGTGTGTGTGGCTGACACCCCGCTTTCAGGTGGTCAAAATCCTTGAAGCGCTGGTTACTACCAGATGAGATGCTGGCGATCATGGGCCTACCCATTACCAAACGTCAAGCGGATTTGGCTAATGTGGTGAAGCCTGCCCAAATAGACGTGCTTCCAGATACAGCGAAGGTGGGGTATTGTTTGTCCTTTTCTTGAACAAAAACATGAACTACTTGAGTTCCAGGTGGTATTGAACAAAAAATGCCATATTTGACTTTCAGGTTCAGCTTGCTGGAAATGGTATGGACACTGCATCAATTGGATTTTGCCTCCTTTGTGTGGGCCTGACCTGTTTCAGCCACGCGGGTGTTTGAGTTTTCTGAGTGGTTTAATTCTTTTTGAATCTTCTTGCCAGGCCATGCTTGCATTGCGTCCAACAGGAGCGTCAATGTCAATCACAATGTTTGGTGCCAGCTCCTTTTTGGACGGGCAGGACGCCCGCAATAGTTGCGCAAGATCCAAAACAAGTCCTGACCTTGGTGACTACTGTTGCTGCTTCTTCACTTTGTGGCAACGAACATGAGAAACAATAACGCTGACTTAGATGTGCCCTGATTCTTGTCTCAAGTGAACCAGTTGCTCCAGAAGCTTGAGTGCATAGTGCTACGGCTATCCACCCGGTCATCCAACTCAATTCAGTTCCAAACAATTGGCAAGCCGTTTCATTCCTTCGTCAGAGAATCGCTCTTTTCAATTTCTTTCCTTTGCTCTCGAAGGGGTCTGCTCACCGCCAATGCATGCCCAGTCTGTTCGGCGACGAACCCCCTGAGCGTGACGCACTGTTTTTCGACGAGCCAGATGAACAGGATGACTATGATGACCATCTACTTCACTGTTTCAAGATGAGCCGGATGAAGTTGACCGTCCCAACATAGCCAGTGCTGGATTCGATGGGTCTTGCAAGAACATAGCTCCAAAAGCAACACCTGCCTTATTCCAAGATGAAGGCGTGGAAATTTCAGATGGGGCCGGCGACTCCGATTCTGCGTAAGATGCTGACGTTGACGGTGATACATCCGACGCGCAAAGGACTTTCTTTGACATGTCGCTCAGACACTTAACAATTTCCTCACGACCAAGCTCTGCAAGTCTTCCTCTGAAGTTGGCGTGTCTACAGAACAGCCCAAGAAAAAAACGCTTTTATGACAATTCTGGGCGGGCAGAGGCAGCAGCAGCA